TCTTTTTAAGTGGGAGAACTTGCACAATTGGTGACTGACTAAATACTTATTTTCCCCACTGTAATGTTTAGAGTTTTACTGTGTTAATGTTTACTTCCTGTATGGACATTATTATTATTATTATTGTTATTATTAAAGCTGCTGAAACAAAACAAATGTTGAATATTTCTGCGCCGATGAAAGTTTGATGTTTTAGTTAAATGATCCTAAAAAAGTTGAGACGATGGTTCAAATCCAACCAGCCTCCACAGGAAGCTGCAGTCTGCTCTGAAACCAAACCGCTACACAAACACCCTRTAATGTCTCATTTCTAACATTAAACATGGCTCCTTAGTGAAGCAGAGACCTTCAACTCCAAAATGACCTGATAAACCACAAAAAACCAGGTGAAAGTGATTGGAGGGCCAAGAACCTCTCAAAACCAATAAAAACCATCAAAACCCATCAAAAACCAATAAAAACCCATGAAAAACCAAAAAAACCATCAAAAACCAATAAAACCAGTCAAAAACCAATAAAACCCATCGAAAACCAATGAAACCAGTCAAAAACCAATAAAACCCATCAAAAACCAATAAAACCCATGAAAAACCAATAAAACCCATGAAAAACCAATAAAACCCATGTAAAAAGTATGTAGGAGAACCAAAACCAGGTCAAAACAAGCTCAAACTAAAACAGTAAACATGACTGATTGGTTGAAGAGCCTAAAACCCAAAATAAACTGAACCGATTTGCAGGAAACCCCTGAAAACGAGCTCAAACTGATAAAGACCATAGGTCTGACCCGTTTGGACCGGACGGTTCCGTTGGTGTCCCCCGTCTGAAGCAGTGAACTGACGCTGTGTTCGTCCTCAGAGCCAAGTGGACGGAGACAGAGATCGAGATGCTGCGATTGGCCGTGCGTCGCTTCGGAGACGACCTGAACAACATCAGCACCGTGATCAAAGAGCGCACCGTGTAAGTGTTCCCGGGTCGCCTCGGACCTGCCCCGACCAGAACCACAAGACCCGATCAGAAAACTAACGAGCTGTGAGTCAGGTCCTCTGAGTTTGAGCAGATTTTACAGGTAAAACTCAGTTTGTGTTGAAAACACAGCAAATGTTCCTCAGTGAAACTAAACACCTGCACAGAAACTGTCCCAGTAAAAAAAAACCAGTCTGAGCTTCTTTTTGAGAGAAAATTACTGTCCAGTAATGTCCAG